CACACACACACACACAGCATTCCTTAGACTTGGGTGGGCTGTGACTCTGTGGCCAGTGACAATGACCCACACACACTATCTCTATCTACACACTTTAAGGACATTTAGGAGGTAACAAAACCTCTGATAATTCACATGCTTTTATCTTAGATATTTAGTAATATGTTAATTTAATGAAAGGACAACTTTCAGATGTGCTAACATATTCAGAAAATCTAAGAAATGTTGAATGGCCTTTTCACTCATAACATTATAACTTACATATTTAGAGTAGCATTGATTACCCTTTGGAACCTTATGTACTAGAAAGAAAATGCATAATACCAAAAAGAAATTCACGTTCAGGAAGATTAGTACTTTGAAGAAAAACACATTAATTCCATTTTGAACCACTCACACGAAAAGTTCACAATAAGTGATTGTGATTATAGTTTTAAAATAATAAAATGAAAGGATTTACAAGATAAATTTAAAGCAGAGTGACCAGCTATTTTCCATCTCTCCTGGAGATAGAAAGAAACTGGACTTCCGCTTGAGCAAAATTGCATCAGATGTGGTAGAGGACGTCCTACAAGATATTGGAGGATTTATTGATGTATCTTGTCCCATCCTTTAAAAACAGGATGGCTATGACACAGTATCTGTCCTAAAAAAAAAAAGTAGGTCCAGACAAACATAGCTTTAAACAATCTCTTTGTGCCATAAACAATATTACAAACCAATCAGGAAGCAACAGAAAATTAGACAAACCTGGCCGGGCGCGGTGGCTCAAGCCTGTAATCCCAGCACTTTGGGAGGCCGAGACGGGCGGATCACGAGGTCAGGAGATCGAGACCATCCTGGCGAACACGGTGAAACCCCGTCTCTACTAAAAAATACAAAGAAACTAGCCGGACGAGGTGGCGGGCGCCTGTAGTCCCAGCTATTCCGGAGGCTGAGACAGGAGAATGGCATAAACCTGGGAGGCGGAGCTTGCAGTGAGCTGAGATCACGCCACTGCACTCCAGCCTGGGCGACAGAGCGAGACTCCGTCTCAAAAAAAAAAAAAAAAAGAAAAGAAAATTAGACAAACCTTTGAGCTCACAGATTACCTGCAGATCTGGTTAAACAAACCCTCTACTGAAACAGACTTCCTATATTGACTCCTGAGCAAAATAAACTTCCCTAGCAGGCTTCATGTATTTGCTGTACATTTTCAAGGCAATGTCCTATATGACCGACATTTACTAAAACGGATTGGGAATAACATTACGGAAACAAAGAATTATTTGACTACTTTGTGTTTGGCATTGCGATGAGTGGGAATGAAGAATAATACTAAGTCACAGTAAGAAATGAATGTGTTCGTTCAAAAGCATTCTTTAAGACTCTCATTATTGTAGATGCGAGCACATGTCAACTCAAGCTGGTTCATTTTTCAGAAGAATATGGGGAGATTTCTTCATGCTATTATGCCATCGACCTTCATCCCTCTCTATACCATGGTAAGGTCTGGACTGAAGACTTTTCCTCATTTTAATTTTCTGTTTAGCTGTTAAGGAATATACAAGAATACTTTTTAAACTTTCCTGCAGGTCTCTTTTTCCAGAATAAGATACCATGAGGCTGTGCAGCGTTGGCATTGGCAAAAAAAGGTTGGAACAGATTACATTTTATGATTTTTTTAATGTGATGTGTTAAAATGTCATAGTATTATGATTATGTTTGTTTCAGACAAATACGGAAATAATGGGACACCAACTGTTTGCCTTCCAAACAGAAACTGTCCTGAATACAGAGAGGGAAGAGTGCTTACTGAACAACATTACAAGGAGGTGGCAAAGAAAGAGAGCTTTTGAAGGGAAGAGTCTCAGGAAAGAAGCTGATGCTAATATTTCTCAACTTTTTACTTTATTTTAGCAAGATGTACTGTTCTTGATTTTTGCTTCGTGCAATATTCTTATGAGTTTAATTTGTAAAGTTGGACAGAACTGAATCACTTTTAAAACACCTATTCCAATGGAATGCTATAATACATTCATTTTGGGCAGTTGGCCTAGAGATGCCATTAAATGGAATTCTGATTCCCTAGTCTTCCACTTTGGGGATTTTACAACGTCATTTATTCAACAGACAGTTTTATTTAGTACACAGCACTGAGCTGTCGTGGTGATGAACGTGACCGGTTCACACCTTTCACCAAGCTCAGAGGCTAGTGGGGGATAGAGACAGTTGCACTGGAGAGGGATACACTGCCCCCGAGGAGGACAGGAGGGGCCAGGACGGGGAAAGGCGGAAGACACATGAGAAACATAGTTCAGTGGAGCTGGAAGGCGGCACTAGCGTGTGAGAATGGTCAGAGGGTGGAGGCAGGGCTTTAAACACCTGGAATATTATCTTGAGAGAAACAGGGAGCCCAGGGAGGCCAACAGCCTCAGGTCTGAATTTTAGAAAGATGTCTATATGGAGAATGGATTGGAAGAAATCAAGATGTATCTAAACAAGATGAATAAAATAGGGCCTCCACCCTTCAGGAGCTGAAAGTCTAAAAGGGGAAAAGATGCCAGCAGGCAGTTAGGATGCAGGACACTAAGTGCGGGGAGAGAAACAGGCCAGGATGCCGTGCGGAAGCACCTGACTCAGGCTGGAAAGAGTCTCAGGCCACTGTTTACAGCTAGTGTTTAGTCTCCATGTGAGTCTTAGTCACAGAGGCCACCAGGCCACCACTCTTCTCCTGGAGACTTTTGGGAAGCTTCTGAGAAGGAATGAATGATGTGTGGCTCCAGCACAGTGGTACTCTTCTTAGAATTCACAGCTCTTTTTCTAAACTGCACAGGTTTTTTAATGACTGGACAAAAGCTGACTGCTAAATTTTTTTCATACAGAAGACCTTGATTCATGAGTTTCTTGGGAGAGAGGGAGAAGGGAGGCTCCCAATCCTTGACTTTATCTTGATCTTATCGATTCCTGACCTGGTGGTCATGCAATTAAATTGTTGTTTCAGGTTAAAGAACAAAGAGGACATTGTTTACCCCTTTGTTGGTAAAACAAATGAAGTCTATTTTCCGATTTGAATCTCTGGGCGAATGAAATGAGGGTTCTTGCTGTCTTACAGGCGATATACAAAGCACTCCTTCTCTTGGGATCACTGATAGCCATCAGCAGCACCTACCTACTCATGCACTACGTGTCACCACGACCTTTCCACTACTTCAGAAGACCATGGAACTGAACAGCTCACTCTGGAATACAAAACATGTTTCCCTACAAAGGCCATGGACTTCCTAGAACAAATTTATCTCATTAGCAGGTGATAGAAAGGTTTTGAGGTTACAAATGCTTGATTTCTCTGTGACCAAAATTAAGCACGAAAAGTTTCCATTGCCATATTTTATTCACTAATGGAAGATAGTGATCTGCTTATAATTAAACTGAATGTAGTATATCTCTGTGTGTTAATTGCAATTACTCGGGGTGGGGGACATTTTAAAAGTTGAAACATGCAACTTCCTCTACATTATACACACTCAGGTTGAGTCATTCTAACTATAAAAGTGCAATGACTAAGATCTTTCACTTCTCAGAAAGCAAGGCCCAAGATGCCTCAGGGAAGACCGTAATCATGCCTTTCCTTTAAAAGACACAATAGGACTCACAATAGCATTGCCTCGACACCTGGGACTAAAAATCACAACTTGCCTAGCATGTTAACTGCACTTTTCATTACCTGAATGGAACTTACCTAACCACAGGGCTCAGATGTACCAGATAAAACCAGAAATGTAAATAATGAATTCAGGGGAGTTCCAGAGACTTACAAAATGAACTCATTTTATTTTCCCAGCTTCAAATACAAGTCTTACCGTCTGTTTATCTATCATCTATCATCTAATCTGTCTATCTCTATTTATTTATGTGTTTAGAGATCAGGTCTCACTCTGTCGTCCAGGCTGGAGTGCAGTGGCATGGTCTTGCTTCACTGCGACCTCTGCCTCCTGGGCTCAAGCAATCCTCCCACTTCAGTCTCCCAAATAGCTGGGGCTACCAGGCTCAGCTAATTTTTTGGTATTTTTCAGTAGAGACTGGGTCTTGCCATGCTGCCCAGGCCAGTCTCAAACTCCTGGCCTCATGTGATCTGCCCACCTCAGCCTCCCAAAGTGCAGGGATTAGAGGTGTGAGCCACCACTGCCAGCCCAGAGTTACCCTCTAAAGATAAGAAGAAGGCTATTAATATCATACTAAGCAAAGGACAGGAAAGGGTTTTATTCATAAATTAAATGTCTACATACGCAAAAGTGGAAAGGAAACAAGGGGAGACAACTTTTATAGAAATACAAAGCCATTATTTTATTCAATTTCAGACCCTCAGAAGCAATTTACTAATTACTCTTGGACTACATACTGCAGCAGAACCAGCAATACACTTGATTTTTAAAAGCACATTTAGTGAAAACATTTTCTTTGGTTCATCCTTCTTTAACAGGCTGCTGAGTCACTGAGAAGTCCTTCAAACATGATTATGAAGATGAAACACTAGAGTCATATAAGCAATAAAAATTGGGCAATGGGCCGGGCGCAGTGGCTCAAGCCTGTAATCCCAGCACTTTGGGAGGCCGAGACGGGCGGATCACGAGGTCAGGAGATCGAGACCATCCTGGCTAACACGGTGAAATCCCGTCTCTACTAAAAATACAAAAAATTAGCCGGGCGTGGTGGCAGGTGCCTGTAGTCCCAGCTACTCGGGAGGCTGAGGCAGGAGAATGGTATGAACCCAGGAGGCGGAGCTTGCAGTGAGCTGAGATCGTGCCACTCACTCCAGCCTGGGCAACAGAGCACGACTCCATCTCAAAAAAAAAAAAAAAATTGAGCAATAAGATGATTCAGTGTTTCTTTTCTATATTGTCAATGAAATCCTTGAGTTCTAACAATCCATGTTTAGTTTGTAGGGAAAGAAAAAATAATTTTTCCTTCTACCCACTTTAGGTTCCTTTGCTGGGGCCCCTATAACAAAAGACAGATTAACAAGAGAAAAACAAACATAAGTTTATTAGCAGATATATATAATATATGTGGGAAATACAGGTAGAAATACAGGGGAATGAGCAAATCTCAAAGAGCTGGCATCTTAGAACTCCCTGGCTTATACAGCATCAACAAAGAACAGTAAATGTTTAGAAAAACAACAAAACAAAGAAAAAGAGCTTTGAGTCTGTAGGGGCAGCAATTTGGGGGAAGCAAATATATGGGAGTTTGCCTTGTAGATTCCTCTGGTGCTGGTCTCCAGGCTGACAAGGATTCAAAGATGTCTCTGAAACTCCTCTTTGTCATAGTGCACATATAAAAAGTCTTTTGTTTCCAACAAGAGGATTTTCTTTTTCATTCTAGAATTATCTCCTTGATAACTTCGACATAGGACATGACACTGAATAGAGTCCAACAGTACAAAAAAATTCAGTATGTTCTAGCTACTTCACACATGTGTATGCGACAGTTATTTTTACAGTCAGGTATTTTCGAGAAAAATGTATTACGTGTTTTGGAAAATAGAGTAATTTAAAAAATATATTTGAAATGAAAATCTCCAACACATTAGAAGATGATGTTAGATGCCCATCGTCTGCCACAAGTGGTTTTTTCATTATGTAAAGCACCCGTTGAATTAAAATAATTTATTTTTGTTCAACCTCTTCCTGAGGCCCAAGAGCACATGGGCAATTCGGATTTCCTGCTGGACCACAAAGTTCTGTGGATACTACATAGAACGGGTATTCCAGACACTTCTTACGATGGTAGTCTAAAAGTGGCATCCAGTTTAAGGCCCCATCTTTCGTTGCCATTCTTCATTCCTACAAAGGACGAACTTGGATCACATCAACTTTGGACCCATTGGTTTTGTCGCTGTCGTCAACTGACAGTGATTCATCACTGGTGATGATAAAAATGATGGAAGAAGAGTTGAAAGTCACTTTTTTCTTTGGCCTGTCCCCATCTTTCTGTGACATCACGATAGGTCTGATCTGCATTTCACTCCCAGCTGCTGGTAGGTCTTTAGCAGGCCGCTGGCACCTCAGCAGTCGGAGGCACAGGAGCTGCAAAAGGGATCTTCGAAACTGGGCAGAGACAAAATAAAGGGGAATATGAAGTAAAAGTTGGGCACTTATCTGGATTAATAGTCAAGGAAATCAGTTGAGCTGCATTTCAGTTGTTTCTTGTTTGTTAGCTGGTGTGGATGAGGGGTTATGTGGTCATGCTCAGATCTACCTAAATCACCCCAGAGCTTTATGTCTTTTCTTCATTCTAATTCTTATTAACCAGAATATGTAGGACCATTTCAGTACCTTGTAATCCTCCAAGCTTCAATCTGCACACACTTTCTATGAGGACAGGTGCAACTATTAAGAGATTTTGAACATTAAGTCAGTCCACAGATATTCAGTGGGTATCTACTAGGTGACAGTCACTGTGCTATAATTAGAGATTTTTTACTGTAAGCAACGAAAACAGACAAGGCTCTTCCTGGCAGAGTTTAGAGCCTGGTGTACTTGCTAATGTTTCTTTAATTAGGTGAAGAATTTTTTCTATCGAAATTACTAATAAGTTGGGGAAAAAATACTATGGCAGACAGCACTAATGTCATCAACAAACATAATTCTTCTCCGTGTCCTGGGAACAACATCAAATAATATTTCTTGGTCTCCTTTCGGCTTCTCCTCTCTGCTGTTCCTCTCGACAAGAAATTGGGAGGCCAACGCGTAAAGATCATAATATCGCACAATGGAAGGGACCTAGATCCCTAAATGACTGCACAGGACAGATCCCATCTCCTCCACCCAATACATTATTAGACTGTGAACTGTGACCTGAATGAGCAATAAACTCCGTTTTAATTCACTGAAATGTTGGGGTTGCTTGTTATAGTAGTCAGTCCATCATGACCAGTAAAACATACATCAAAAGTTAATGTAATTGTTATCCCCATTATTTAGAGTGAAATAAATGGTGAATATATGGACTTTCTCAGATCAGGAAATACCAATTAAAAATATAATAGCTACATTGATTTCTGTCTTTTTTGTTTGTTTTTTGCTTGGTTTTGTTTTACAGCAAACACTGCCTGATAATGCCTTCTTTAAGTCTCAATCTTATGCAAGTTAGCATTTAGTTTATACTCACATTTAAAAATTTTTATTTTTTCTATCTGATTCAAAAATTTAAAAAATAAAAATATTTACTTGTTTGAGACTTTATTCACTAAACCATTGTTTGGTTAAGTGTTAAAGAAACATGATGATAAAAGTTAAATAGAGTATGTATGCCAAAAAAAATGCTTTTCCATATAAATGGTAAGCTCTTTGAGGACAAGGACTGTTGTTTTTATGTATTGGTTTTTGTTTGTATCTTTTAGACTTCCTGTTTAAAGTATGCCCCTAGGAGCCAGAAACATCGGGACCATGTGGGAGCTTGTTAGACGTGCAGAATATTGGGCAGCCATACATACTGAAGGAGAATATTCATTTATTACAAGATTTCCAGGTGTGGGGTACGCACATGAAAGTTCTAGAAGCAGTAATTTATAGCCCATTGGCTGACAGAAAGAGTGCAACAAATAATTGTTAATGTATTTTTATTTTGCCTGTTGAGAGGGTGGTCCCTAAAATACCTTATCCTCTGATAGAAAATTAAAGTTATAAACCATCTCACTAGAAAAATTTGTATGTGTGCATACTAAAAAATTGTTATGAACAATTTCCAGGGTTGCAATGGCTCTTCTGAGGCCAACTCAAGGAATGTTTAGGTCCTGTGGACTCCAAGTTTAAAATCTCTGGGTTAAAGGAAATAGACCAGTTGAAGGCAACAAAAAACGGAAAGAAACACTGTCAGTGAGAGGAGAATAAGACACGTGGAAGTGAGTTTATGGAGAGTATAAGCCAATAATATTCAAAGAAAAGGAAAGGCAAAAGAAGAGGCAGAGGGATTTAGCACTGAACATAATAAAGTTACTACAAAAGTGCCCGCTTCTTCCATATTCTTGAGCATTAGAAGTCAGTGATTATTATTGCCCGTTATTATTATGACTTGTTATCTTTAAAATTCCAATGGAGTAATTAAGCATTATTTTTAACTTTTAAATTCTCTGAAACTTAGAGGCTCAGCTTATAATAATCATTTTGTGGGCTCTCCTAGCCATGACTCACAGCCATCAAGTCAAAACCTTTCAACTACAGAAACAGATGATAAGGAAGTTCCTCTTCTTTTTGAGACAGGGTCTCGCTCTGTCACCCAGGCTGGAACACAGTGGTGTGATCATGGGTCACTGCAGCCCTGACCTCCTGGGCTCAAGAGATCCTTTCACCTCAGGCTCCTGAGTAGCTGGGACTACAGGCATATGCCACCACGCCCAGCTATTTTTTTTTTTTTTTTTTGAGAGAGAGGGGCGTCTCATTATGTTGCCCAGGTTGGTCTTGAACTCTTAGCTCAAGCAATCCTTCTGCCTCAGCATCCCAAAGTGCTGGGTTTACTGGCTTGAGCCACCATATCAGGCCCAGGAAGTTTCTTGAACCAAATTGATTTAGGCTAGACATTTGCTGTGGCATGTGAATAACAACCCAGACCAATTGCTATAAGTATCTATAACCCCAAGTGAGGAGTTATAAGCACTGGATTTGGGGACTTGAGCAAACTAGGTTCAAATCCTGGCACCAATACTTCCTAGATTAGGCAAGTTATTTAACTTCTCTGAACCTATTCACAACCCATAAAGAAAACAAGGAATAATATTAGTGCCTATTTTGTGGAGTTTCGTAAACTTGCTAGTAACTTGTTTGTGACTTGCTTGTAACTTGCTCGGTGCAGTAAGAATTTTAAATGTATTATTAACTTCGTTACTGTTATTACTAGGCATAAACTATTTTCTGATGAATTAAATATTAATTTTGCTAGAATTCTACCTAACAAGTGTGAATCCCTATGGGTAGTTCTTAGAATTGTTATGATTTTCTTTGGAAATATTCTATATTTCTTCCTGATCCCTTTACATTCTGACAAAATTCTTGATTTGGTTTTTTTAATTGAATCGACTCTGAATCACCTCTGTAAAAGTATTACACTGTCATTTCCAACTCTATCTTCAGGGTGAAAGTAATCAGTTAATTGCAAAGCGTACCTTTCTGATCATGAAGACATAAATCACTGGATTGTATACAGTGTTGGATTTAGCAAAGAGGTACGAAACAATAGATATTGTTGGAGTGACCAGGTGACCATGACCATTAACCACCAAGAAGCAGACCACGATATAAGGCATCCAACAGACCAGGAAGGTGAATATCATTAAAAAGCACATTTTGGCCAGTTTCTTTTCATATTTTAAAATCTTGATCACTTGAATTGTCTGAAGATCTTCCACGCAACGAAGCTGCCGAAAGGAGAAAGAAAGGAAAGGGCTTTAAAAAAATAAAAGAATGGCTTTCTTGTGTTATTTTTATAACAGATATTCAGACACTATTCTTGGCCCCAGCTAAATGGAAAGAGAACTGAATGGGACCTTGGGAGGCTGACTTCTGATCCGAGACTCGTAGCTGAGTCCAGCTTTAACCTTGCGGGGCCTCAGTCTCCCCACGCACAACATACGGTGGTTGAGCTACATAGCCTCCTACATCCTTCAGTGTTTTTTTAATGTTCTCGAATTTACTTAATAAGAAATAAGATGATTTTGCCTAGATCTTCAAATCTCTAAAAGACAATCGGAAAGAGTCACGATAAAATGGAAACAATTTCCCCACCATCCTGGAAACTCTAGAGTGCTAGTTCTGGAGTTCTCAAAGCAGACTGCATACCCATGTCATGTCAGTTCTGCACGATGAAGCCTGCAGCTGGCCTTGATGAGAATTTAATCCCCAAGTGAATTCTTATGGAAAACCAGTTTTTCAATTCACTGCTAATGACCATAAAGTAGAATTTCAGGAGAAATTTGTTTGCGATTGGCTTCATTAGGGGCTCACTTGCAGAGAACAGCACTTGGTAAAACTCCTTCCTCTAAAATCAGCCTGTCTACTCCCAGTCTGTTCCCATTAAAGGGATGGACGAGTAACGATGTACAGTCTGAAAGTTCTTTGAGTTTCTTGAATATAAATTGCTTTTTGCTGTTTCTCCTAGTATTATAAATGTGTTATAATAATATACGGGTAAAGAATATTTCTGCACACCAAAAATATGTTCCTAAATAAAAATAATTCTCTCTAAACATTGTAATAAGTTTTATGACTTTTACTACAAAAATACAAGTACTTTATATATTGATTTTTTTTAAGTAGTTAGCATACTGTTGATACTTAGTATTGATTACTTTATGCTGGGAAATTTACTGCATTTCAATGAACTCTAAGTGTACCATTTAGTTCTAGCATTATCATAAAAATTAAGAGGGCGGGGAGCGGTGGCTCACACCTGTAATCCCAACACTTTGGGAAGCTGAGGCAGGCGGATCATGATGTCAGGAGATCGAGACCATCCTGGCTAACACAGTGAAACCCCGTCTCTACTAAAAATACAAAAAATTAGCCGTGGTGGCAGGCGCCTGTAGTCCCAGCTACTACTCGGGAGGTTGAGGCAGGAGAATGGCGGGAACCCGGGAGGCGGAGGTTGCAGTGAGCCGAGATTGCGCCACTCACTCCAGCCTCGTCAACAGAGAGAGACTCCGAGACTTCGTCTCAAAAAAAACAAATAAAAATAAAAATAACAAAATTAAGAGAAAGAATTTCCAAAGAAATCATTTAGAACATGTGCTTACAGTATTTCCAAATATATTTTAATTAAAATTCCCAAATTATTGATATCCAAAATTATATTTAAGAAACTATATTCTTATCAAAATCATGTATTCAGATTAGCAAAGAAGAGAGAGAAATAGGAAAAATTTAAGTCGTTGATTTTTTTAGGGTAGAGAGACTATGTGTGGGGAAAAGTGGGTATTAAATTTCTGGTATTCGGTTGGTGTAAAAGTAATTGTGGTTTTTGCCATTAAAGGTAAACCTTTGAAGGTAACCTTATTTAAAGGTAAATAATATTCCTTTACCAGTATGCCAATTACTTAAAAAAATCAATATATAAAGTATTTGTATTTTTGTAGTAAAATTAGTATAACTTATTACAATGTTCACAGATAAAGATTTTTATTTAGGAACATATTTTTGGTGTGCAGAAAGGTAAATAATTTACCTTTAAACAAGGTTACCTTTAAAGGTTTACCTTTAATAGCAAAACTGCAATTGCTTTTGCACCAACCGAATACTACTATTCTGTGTGCGCAATTCTATTTTAAAAGAAACTCTTTCATTTAATGTGATAGAATATTATTCTATTTTCAAAACATCATTTTGGGGGAGCTTCCCTAGAGTTTATAGGAAGGCTGTGGAGTTTTGATAAAAGCTCTAGATCTGGAATTAGAAGATTTAAGTTTATATCCCAGATTCACCACTTTTGCTCTCAGTGTGATATTGGGCAAGTCAATAACCTCCTTTAAGAATAAAGAAGAAAGGAGGTTAAACAAAAAAACATATTAGAATTAACAGAACTTGAATTCCATTTCCACACGTATGACTTTGTGGGGTTGTTTTTGAGGTTAAGTAGTTATTTATATTTGGACTAGACATGAAACTAACACACTCGTATGTATATGTACATTTATGATACTATAGGATATTTGGAATCATTATTGACTCTTCAGAGTTTCCATTAACAAGTAACATGACCACATCTCAGTTAACTGCCTCCCAAACCTCTAGTATCTAGGTCCAGTAGTTTTATCTGTACCATTTTCTGGGCAAGTCAGTCTTTATCCCCTCTCACCATTTATCAAAGCAGAGCATTCATTTATCCATCTTGGAATCACATGCACACTGGAGAAATTAATTGAAATAAATGTTGGTCTATACGTCCCCAGTGCCTCTTTGGTAGAAGGAGAAGATCTTGACTAATGTTGTAGATTATTTGGGTTTATATATATGAAGTTTTCATGATTATTTTTTATTTATCTCTATCAGGCCTCTTTGTTTCATTACTTTCTATTCCTTCATTCTGCTCATTAAATATTTTTCAAATAAAAAATTCTATTTCATGCCTCACCCTCTTTATTCAATCATTTGAGGATACTTTTCAAAATTGCTATGGATGAAGCAATTTTGAAATGATTGGCACAGGCACAAATTTGTCCTAAAGAATGAACCACCTAAAACAGATTCTTCAGAATTCTCTATTAAAGTGTTCTTTGGCCATATAAATAGCTGATGCCTAGTACTCATTAATCCAAGACATCTGTAGATTTTCAAAGAATTTCACTGTGAATCTTCATTCTCAAGTGTGTAGCTATGTCTCCATCGCGGTTATGAGTCATCTCTCTCTGAATGAGGAAACGGAGGCAAATTACTTGCAGTGAGCTCTCTGTTTAGGTAGCAGCTAAAGTCAAATCTCTTCACACTTTCACCCCTTCTCCTGTCTTCCCCCTTCTATGCCCTTTGCTTGTAAGTCATTCCAAAAATAGTGACTGATCACCTACTCATGCAGACACTATACCAACTACAGGTGAGAAAATACATAAGACCCAGTCTCTGCTCTTGAGGAATTCATGATTTGGTGAGGGTGATGCACACTGAGCAGGTGGAAGCCATGAGGGAGGTAAACAGGGAGGATATGGTAGTACACAGGATGGGTAACTCGTTCTGAGGGCTAGAGCAACAAAATCCTGCTGTTAGCCTTGTGAGGGAAGGAGGAATCAGTCAAGTAAGGAGGAGAGACAGAATGTTCCAGAGAAAAAAATGTGCTAAGACGAGAGGTAAAATAACAAGTGAGTGTCTGAAAACAAGAAATATTACCATTGGCCGCATCCCGAGGTGGCAAGAGGAGGGGAGTGTCAAGAAATGAGGCTGGACAGGTAGACAGGAGATGCCATACAGGACCGGCCGACAGCACCCAGGGGCTTTATTTTAATCACAAAGACAGTGGAACTTCTGAAGGTAATACTTGAGAACAACTACTCTGGTGGCAGTGTGCAAAGAATGGAATAGAGGAAAGCAAAATTTTCAAAAAGGAGAACTAAGTTTTTTTTTTAACTGAGTCCGTGGCAGTGGGAGAGGAAAAAATGTATATACTAAAAAATATAGGGCTGGGCACAGTGACTCACACCTGTAATCCTAGCACTTTGGGAGGCCAAGGCAGGCGGATCATGAGGTCAGGAGTTCAAAACCAGCCTGGCCAACATGGTGAAACCCCACATCCACTAAAAATATTTTAAAAATTAGCCAGGCATGGTGGTGGGCACCTGTAATCCCAGCTACTCAGGAGGCTGAGGCAGGAGAATTGCTTGAACCTGAGAGGCAGAGGTTGCAGTGAGCCAAGGTTCTGCCCTTGCACTCCAGCCTGGGCAATAAGAGTGAAACTTTGTCTCAAAAAAAACAAAACAAAGCAAAACAAAACAAAACAAATTTAAGTGGCATGGATAAGAACTGATCAATAGTTGGGTGTTGGGGGAGACATGGATGACACTCAGTCAAAGATTACTCCTTAATTTCTGGTCTTGGTAGCTAGGAATGATGACTATTCAATGAGAAAGCAAATGGAGGAGTAGAGGATTTTAGGGAAAATATGACAAATTAATCTTTACATTTGTTAAATTTGATGAGTCTGTGGACCATCCAAGTGGAGGTGTTCAATAGGCAATTGACTACCAGGATCTGTTAGAGGCTGGAAGAAAGACCTGAACTGGAAATAGAGATGTTACCAAGCTTGTGTCAGAAGGAGAAATCCTGGCCGTATGAAAGACCACTCAAGGCCAGTGTGTAGCATGGGACAAGAGCTAAACATAGGATGCTGGGGAGGCCCAAAGAAGAGAAGCTCTTGGAAGACATAAGAAGATGGGGCCAGAGAGTCAGCAACAAAGACAGCAGAGAAAGGCGCCCTAGAATCGATGGCAGCAGAACATCACAAGAAAATAGAAGTTGTCAACAGTCTCAAACACTGAGGATGCTAGAAAGGAATAAAAATGTGTCCATAAGATCACATATCTGGGAGCTCATCAATGACTTGAAATGAGGGCTGTATTAGTGGCAGTGTGGTAGAAGAAGGAGTCACTAGTTTGCCTTAAGTTGAGGAATAAGTGCTAGATAAACTTACTAAACTACCAACTCCCTAAACTACAACAGAAATTTATTTCTCACAGTTCTGGAGGCTGGGAAGTCCCAGGTAGAGTAGCTGACAAGACAGGTATCATTCTGAGGCCTCCTCTCTTGGCTGTTATCTCACTGTGTGCTTCCATGATCTCTTATTTATGCACACGTGGGAAGACAGAAAGAGAGAGAGAGAGAGAGAGACAGAGACAGACAGAGAGAGAGAGACAGAGAGAGAGAGAAAGACAGAGAGAGAGAGAGAGAGACAGAGAGAGCAAGCTCTCTGGTGTCTCTTCTTATAAGGACACTAATCCCCTAATCCCATTAGACCAGAGCCCCATCCTCATGACCTCCTCTGACCCTAATTACCTCCCAAGGCCCCATCCCCAAATACTGTCACATTGGTGGTTAGAGATTCCACATAGGAATCTGAGAGGGACACAAACATTCAGTCTATTAACAGTAAGAAATTGGCACATTTTATATGCTCAATAAATATTGGGTAAATGCATGCTTACTGAGTGACAATGTGGCACCAAGAGTCACCAATGGTTCTTTGAGTTAGCAGTGACAAAAAGGAGAAAAATAAAGTGATAGCTAGAGGGAGCTGAAAGTAGATTGTGATTTAAAAAAAAAAAATAGCCTGGTAATATGCTAAAGGGAAAAGACCAGTGGTAAGGGAGAGTGTGAAGATACAAGTGAAAGAGAAAATTATTAAGAGGTGTCTCTGGGGCACGGAAGGGGGTGGGGGAGCAATCAGAATACAGAATCGAGTTGGTCCTGGGAGACCTCTCCTGTCGCCCTGTAACTGGAGAGAGAGGTCTAAGAATCAGTGGTTTGTGTAAAGAGAGGTAAGGAGTCAAAGGAACCCTTGATAATGGCTTTGTTTTGTCCGATAAATCAGAAGCAGGCTTATTCGATAAGAATGAGAGGAGACAGTAAGGCGAGAGATTAAAATGAGAAGTGAGGTTGTGTAATAGTCAGAGTGTGGAGACACTAGACCACACACACAGGCATAGAAAGGTTCCTAGAACAAGGCTGAGAGGACATCTAAGTGTGGACAGATGTGTTGTTTTTTTTTTTTTTCCAGCTCCTCTTTGCAGTTTGACTACAGGCATGGAGAAAATAGATGATTGAACTGATCTAGGGATTTTGTCTTTAACAAAGTTGGCATATGTAAAGAAATTTGAAACAAATTATTTAAAGTGATGCATGTAGCTAAGTCCGATTTTAAAAACAGGTGAAAGTTAGAGGGGTTTGACGGAGTGAGCAAGAGACTAGAGACGGAAGCAGAGAACAGAGTTGGAAGAATCAGTGAATGGGGAAGGAAACATCCATGGCTGAAAATAGAGACTGGGAAATGGAGCCTGCTCCACACTGGGTTTGAGTTCAAACTGGAAAGTTCTTGTTGGCACCCAACGTGAAGTTGTTTGTGGTCAGTTCTTACCCTTTATGACTCTGCTGTGATTGCCAAACAAAACATCCATGCTGTTCTCTAGTCAAATTCGTATGATCTTTGAATAAACAAAGTTATGGGAAGTGTGGAACTCCCTTTTTTAAATTCTTAAATTTTAAGAGTGTTCGATAATGTAGGGTTTTTTGGTTGCTGATTTTGTCAGTCAGAAGCTTTTTCTTTCCTTCTTTTGGTTGAGAGAGGGATGTACAGTAAATGCTATTCTGCATTGATCTTCCCAGAGAGGGACTCATAGCATAAAATTCAACCAAATGGGAAGTCTTCTAGAACTGCTCTACCTCTGGGCAACTACTGATGACACAGGAAGACTTTCATTATTTTCCACACAAAATTTTCTACCCTGGATGTGGTTTGGGAGGGGGGCATCTGTAGTCTTCAACTCACCATTCGAATGGAATACAGAATATGGCCATAGCAATGGGCTATGACGCCCAGAGGCACCACCAAGCAGCCAAGAAATAAGAAAAGCACAAAGGAGGAATCGTTGGCATCCTTGGATTTCCAGTCCACAGTGCAGCCTAGTCCGTGTACGTCCAGGATGTACCTGTTCCAGCCCAGGAGAGGTGCTCCTGCCCATGCCAGTGAGTAGAGCCAGATGTAGGTAATGGCCCTCCAGGCCCAGGAAAAATTGATCACTCTGGCATGGACCACGCGAATGTAACGTTCATAGGCCAGCACCGTTAGGGTGGCAATGGAAACAATCCCTGCAAGAAGAGAAAGTGGAAAAGTATAGCATGGTGCCGGGGGAACCAGGCATAAGAGACGTGATACATTCTTCACCGGAAATACCTTACAGAGCATCTGAGACTGAGAGAGTGCTAACAGTGTCTTATAGTCCCAAGGAAATTCTATTGAAAACAGCTATCCATAAAAGGAACCATAGAAGGGCAGTCAGTGGCTCACGCCTGTAATCCTAACACTTTGGGAGGCTGAGGTGGGAGGATTTCTTGAGCCTAGGAGTTCAAGACCAGCCTGGACAGCACAGCAAGCCCTGTCTTTACAAAAAATAGAAAAATTAGCCAGATGTGGTGCCACACGCCTGTGGTCCCAGCTGCTCAGGAGGCTGAGGCTGGAGGGTTGCTGGAGGCCAGAGAGGTCGAGGTTGCAGTGAGCTGAGATCGTGCCACTGCACACCAGCCTGGGCGATAGCACCAGACCTTGTCTCAAAAAAAAAAAAAAGAAAAGAAAGAAAACATAAAATGGAAAATGCCATGCAGATTAAAACAAAGATTAGACAAAAATTAAAAGCCCTAAATCAGCCCCACCCCAAAGATGCTCCTATTGCATTAAACTTTCTCCTGAAGAGAAATTCCAGAATGAGTAAGGGAGAGTCACTAGAGCAAGTGTCTCTTTTAGTTTACCTTCTCTTGGCTGTCTCTGACTCAGCCTTTAAAGTCAAAGGGGGTTGCAAAAGCGCGAACTGAATGACGTCGCAGTAAAATGATGGGGAGGATGGCCATAACCTGCCTGCTACCAGCAGATGTCAGCATACAAACTGTTCACACGCAAGGATTGCTGACAAGGGTCGGGGTGCTTCTGGGCTTCCATGGTCTTCACGTATACCGCTATTTTGCAACAAGTCCTCTTTAATGATACTGTTTGTATATTTCTCTGTCACCTTCAGACAGTAAGATACTCACTTAACAAGCACCTACTATGTGCCAGCCACTGGGCGGTGGATGTCCAATGGTGACTAAGAGACAGAACTCTAGATGTCTGAAGGGACCGTGTGTGTGTAAACACTGACAATGACCATGCAATGTGTGGATGCTACAATTGCCACACAATGGATTGGAGACACAGAAAGGGAAGCATTTGCACACACGGCAGAAGCACATTCCAGGAAGAGTGAAGAAAGATGTACTGGGGCATGGGGACGTAAAAGGACACAAAGGGGTCTACAAACAATGATTCAAAGACACCAGGGCTCATAGGACATGGAAAGAGAAATTTAGAGAGAGTCACATTGACAAAGGCTTTTAATTTCTAGCTAATATTTGTGTTATTTTAATTTTTTTTGGTTTTTTAACCTTTTCCTCTATGAAATAATAAATTATAAATCTGTTACTCTCTTGTCCTTTTACACAATTAAATTCCTCTTGTCCTCCTCCTCCTTTTTCTTCTGAAATGGATGCTCATTCTAGCAGTAGTAGAGAATTTAAAACACGATTGGAGGACATGGAAACCAGCTTGAAGGCTATTGCAACCACAGGCAAGACATGATGGGACCTCAACTAGGATGACATTAAAAGGCATGAACAACAAAGTCTGGATTCCAGAAACATTTAGCAACTTGTATCAACAGAATCTGTCTGTTTATGGAATGTGAGGCATGAGGGGGGAGAGAGGAGTTAAAAATAACTTTGAGGTTTTTGGCTAGGCATGGTGGCTCATACCTGTAATCTCAGCACTTCAGGAGGCTGACGCAGGTGGATCACCTGAGGTCAGGAGTTTAAGACCAGCCTGGCCAACATGGCGAAACCCTGTCTCTACTAAAAATACAAAATATTAGTTGGGCATAGTGGCAGAAGCCTGTAATCCTGGCTACTTGGGAGGCTGAGGCAGAAAAATTGTATGAACCAGGGAGGCGGAGGTTGCAGTGAACCGAGTTCGTGCCATGGCACTCCAGCCTGGGCAACAAGAGTGAGACTCTGATTCTAAATAAATAAATAAATAAATAAATAAATAAATAAATAAATAAAATAACTTGGAGGTTTCTAACCTGCCTAAGGAACAGTGAGTGATTACATGAACTGAAGTAAAAACCACAAGGTGTATGAACAGATGTGGGGAAGACAATAAAATTGTGAGCTTCCTGGAGCATAAATATTTGTTTAATGAGTGGACGCAGAGAGATGGAAAGAAAAGCAGTTCAAATGAAGAATGAAAATAAGACTGGTTTCCTGAGAAGGGAGAAAAGGGTGTGGGTGGCAAACAGGTTAAGAGGCCCGGAGGCAAGTCCCAGCTCCCCATGAAGTAGCCCTGTAACTTTCAGCAAATCAAACAATCTCTTAGACCTTTTTGTTTTCATAAAATTTAAAATCCCTTCACATTTTAACATTTAGTGAGTCTGCAATTATGTAAGTATGAAATACAGAGGCCCTGGACTCAGAAAGCAATTGGCATAACATAGTTAATATTCATTTATCCCATGACGGGTTTGTTCTTCTGTGGGATTTGGAGGGTGTGGAGCAGTATGATTCCCAGTGTCTCATATTCATGGCATCCAATAAATGTTCACTGAATAAATAAGTGAATATTTACTACATACTCAAGCGATTGGAAGAAGATTGGGTTTTGGAATAGAGTGGAAGAAAATACTTCAGAGAGTAATGGTATAAGGCTGAGTGTGGTGGCTCACACCTGTAATCCCAACACTTTGGGAGGCTGAGACGGGCAGACCACCTGAGGTCAGGAGTTCAAGACCAGCCTGGCCAACGTGGTGAAAACCCATCTCTACTAAAAATACAAAACTTAGACAGGCACGGTGGCATGCATCTGTAATCCCAGCTACTCGGAGGCTGAGACAGGAGAATTGCTTGAACCTCGGAGACGGAGGTTGCAGTGAGCCGATATTGTGCCACTGCACTCCAGCCTGGGTGATGGAGCAAGACTCCATCAAAGGAAGGAAGGAAGGAAGGGATGGAGGGAGGGAGGAAGGAAGGAAGGAAGGAGAAAAAAAGGAAAGAAAAGAAAAGAAAGTAACAATATAATAGCAAATAATGGATTTAAATTCAAATCACAGTAGTGGTTATTGGGGCAATAAGAGTATCAAGGTGGATGACTTTCATATTCAGAAGTCTATTTTTACCTTATTAAATTCTTATCTAAAAAGTGATATTATCATTTATTTACCTGATATTATTCCTAGAAAAATATCTAAAAACCTAAAGATAATGACATAAGTTGATGCTAATGAAATACTGTTGGTTTTATGTAGTTTACAAACTTTCTTATTAAGCATAATGGTATTTACTTTTATAACTGCCTTTATGTGTTAAAACATAGTTTGGCCTTCAACTTTTAGTTAATTTACACTGAATATGATTTACTCTTTTATAGGCAAGAAAACTCAGTAAAAATAATTACACTGTTGTAAATTAGTAAGTTTCAATGTACCTTAGAGAGGAATAAATGAGTTCTTATGGTGAAAGCAATAAGCTGGTAAAATAAACTGGTATGAGTATACCATGTTCATATATTCATTCATTCATTTAGTCATTACTTATTGCTTGTGATGTTTCAGTCACTGTGCTAGAAAATACACATAAAGACGTGAGTGAAACCAACCCTCACGGCCTTAAGGTCCAGTGGGTAAGAGAGACAATAGAAAAACAAATCAAACAAGCAAATCCGGGCAGTGCTATGAAGAACAGAGAGTGCAGGAATAGAGAATAACGTGAGGCATGGTGGGAAGGACACAGAAAGGGATGCAGCTGGTATTGGCAGGGTGTCAGGAAAAGACCCATTGCACTCAGAGCTGAAGTACGAAAAACCTCAGCCTTGTGATAAGTCAGGATGCAAGAGGTTAGTAACATTTTCCTTCTGGTTATGTTGGTCAAAGAGACTTTAACATTTACTAATACAGTTTTTGACCATGCCTGTGTCTTAGCAAGCACAATGACTTTCAGGTGCCTGATTTCAGTCTTTATGCACCATGACATGTTTGTACAGACCTAGCAAACTTTGTATTTCCTAAGTCTTCCCTAATAGCACGAGCATATCACTGAGTGGCAGCGTCAGTCAGACTGACTTAGTCTTCGAGGGTCACCCAACTGAAATGATCTAATCTACATCTTCCTTGCAAAATATGCAGCTCTTCTCCCACCAATGCTTTATTTACTAACAAATTTTGGTCTTGAGTTGGAATTAATTGCTGTATTCTATTTGATTCCCACAACACTCTCCCAGGAGGATGAGAATGAAAGGACTGTTTTACAATTACTTTAGACCTTTAACTGATGTTAAGCCTTATTAATGGAAATAAAAACTACATGGTATATGAGCAGATATGAGGAAGACAACCAAATTCTAACTTCAAATGGTGCATCCATTTCCGTGAACATTGAAAAGCAATGGGAATGATGAGTGCTGCAAACTAGGTGCCAGTTATGCACCAGCTCCCATGATCATCACTCCACATATGATATGCACTCTTTTGGAAAGAAGGTCTGTGGCTCCAAGGGTTAAGTAATTGATGTCTACACCAACAAGTGGTGGAGACAGTTTTGAGAACCCAAGACTTACTCCAAATCCCGCGATTTTGTCTTAATACCACCTACTGCCACTAGAGGGTGACTTCTACCTCTCCACAAATTCTACCAGTGGTGAAGTGATGTGTGTGCCTTCACTGCAAAGCTGCAGATTGATCAGGTATGTGCCCGTCACTGTGCTGAGTAGGTCTTTTGGAGAAACCAGATACGCGTGGTCCCTACTCTCAAGAAGATTGCAATACTGTATTTTTATATCACACACAACATTGAGAACAATGTAAGATGATACGTGATCATATGTCAAAGTTATGGTGCAAAAACAAACCAGAAAAAGTAAAATCCCAGTGGACTACTGGCTTCATTCAGAGATAAAGCTTAACTTGGGTCCTAAAAGATGGAATAGGTGTTAAGGAACAGAAAGGAATGAAATGGGCATTTCTAAAACTGAAGCCTCCTTGAATTATTGCAAGAGTGCCTTGGACTCTGGTTGTGGAGCCTGGACCAAGAGGTGGGAAGGTCAGTCACTACAGGGGATGGCGCAAAGCTGAATCTGCCTTCCGTGGCTATCCATGGTCCACAGCAGGGATC